TCTCTCTCTCTTTCTTTCTTTCTTTCTTTCTTTCTTTCACTCAAAACAAACCTATTTTTCTTCGAAAGTTTTGCAATTAAAAAACTTAAAGGAATACAGAGTAGGGCTAACACTAATCCAACCAAAGTTACGGAACCGATGTATTGCCAACTGATATACAAATAGATTATGGTACTAATTGGCGATAAAATGGCAACACCAATATTAACCAATAACTATATGATGTCACAAATATATGGTTCATTTATAATCATTTTTACAATTATTATAACACAATTGATAATTACGGGATCAAATTGGTTGACATCATTTGTGATGAGATTCACAATCTGTCCGATAGTTGTCTTCTCAAAGGCTGTGGTCTTCAGTCGCAGAGACTTGTTATATAGGAGTGCAGACCAACTGACCCTCATTTTGACCGCTGTTTTATAGCATATAAGACAATACGGATGAAAGAATAAGACCATAAATAGTGATGCAATGATAATAGTGGTCGCAAATCCACACGCAGTCGTATACGACATGGCATTTGCCTCCGACTTCGCAGCCGAAAAGTATCGGATAAGCCGACTGACGGACACGACTGAACATATTTCTATCAAGAGCTGAATATGATTGTGGTTTATAATTAATTGAATCAACATTATTGTAATATCCTCATCACAATTGATTTACTACCTGGATCATTTGAAATAATAATGGCATATATAGATACGGTAAATATGTCTTAACCAGTGCTCTCACAAGACTTGGATTAGCTCTCAATAACTCAATTTCCCAATTTCTATAAAACCAATAATATTTAAATTGTTCAAAATTCTTATTACCGTAATAAAGCATAATAATTATATAAATTAAAATTTAGTATGAATTATAAACATAAGAAATTGTTGTTACAAAATGCTGAAAATTAAACTAGATTTTTTATAACCATGCTAAATTTTGAGTACCAATTAAAGTATTGTAGTTATAGACAATCCTAATATGTTCAAACCATACATTGTATCTAGGCGGCCAATATGTTTCTTCCAATGTAAATTTGCAATATCTCCCAAACGGGATGAGCTAGCTCAAATCTGTAAACGG